ATCACCATTTTAAAACCATCTTCTTTTCTTTTAAATCCTTCTTGCTGCTGTAAGGGCCCAGATGCCTTACCTTGTCATAAATTCTAGAGAAAAAACTACTTAGTTCTATTTAGTTGCTGGTTAACGGAAGAAGAACCTCATCTTCTTCCACCATTTCTCATCATGCAGCTATTTATTTATTTATTTATTTATTTATTTATTTATTTATTTATAGACAGTCTCTTGCTCTGTTACCCAGGCTAAAGTACACACAGTGGCGCATCTCAGCTCACTGCAACCTCTGACTCCCTGGTTCCAGCAATTCTCATGACTCAGCCTTTCAAGTAGCTGGGACTACAGGCGTGCACCACCACGTCTGGCTAATTTTTTGTATTTTTAGTAGAGATGGGGTTTCCCCATGTTGGCCAGGCTGATCGAACTCCGGGGCTCAAGTGATCCACCTGCCTCAGCCTCCCAGAGTGCTAGGATTTCAGGTGTGAACCACTGTAGCAAATCATAAACACAAAATGTCTTAATATACATTTCTTTTTTTTTTCCCTAGCAAACAATATTCTCACACTTAATATACATTTCATATCTCTTGACTGGGCTCATTTTTCCTTTCAAGAATTATCTTCCCTCCCTGAGGGCCTAGTACTTCAAAGCTCATCTGAAATACTTCTCCTCTGAGATTCTTCCCAGATTTCCACCCAGTGTTAATTGCTCCTTCCCTCTTCTGTGTCCCCAAATACCTAATAATAATTATAAATCTTCTATAAGAGCTTTGGATAGGCAAACCCTTGTTTACTTTGTCTTTACAAAATCTGGTATATAGAAGGCACTCAGAAAATGCTGGAAATAGACCCTCTCTATGTTCCTGAACTGTCATCTAAGCTATAACAAATCTATGCAGGTGTTTGATAAAGCCTCCTATTGTATTAAACTACTGTTCTACCTATAATAAGCCTTTCTCTTATATACACACACACCAAACTGAGCTAGAATAATCTTTCTATTTTTTTTTTGAGACGGAGTTTCGCTCCTGTTACCCAGGCTGGAGTGCAATGGCCCGATCTCAGCTCACTGCAACCTCCGCCTCCTGGGTTCAGACAATTCTCCTGCCTCAGCCACCTGAGTAGCTGGGATTACAGGCACGTGCCACCATGGCCAGCTAATTTTTTGTATTTTTAGTAGAGACAGGGTTTCACCATGTTGACCAGGATGGTCTCGATCTCTTGACCACCCGCCTCGGCCTCCCAAAGTGCTGGGATTACAGGCGTGAGCCACCGTGCCTGGCCTAGAATAATCTTTCTAATACCCAAATCTTCTTTACTCACACCTTCAGTAGCTCTCTAGGACCCTCAAGATGAAGTGCAAACTTCTCAATCACATTGACATGGCAAGGCTGCCCTTGCTGAACCTAGCTGTCCACATATTCTATACCCCACTTAAAGCAGCAAAACATTGCTAAAGGAAACACAGAAATTCAAAGTGATTTCACTTTAAAGTCAAGACCACAAACTTCAAATGTGTCCTCAATGTTGCCCAGCAATCCTTTGTATCCCTGGTATATTTATTTCCCAGGATCCAAAATGCCTATTTCATATGCATCCCTCTTTCCTCAAACTTCTAATGCCCCTACCCCTTGCATTAGCTCATGACCTACTTTCTTCTTTAAGAAAATAGCATCAATCAGACAGAACTCCCTTATATTTTCATCTCAACCAGCAAGCTGCCATATTCCCTGCCTTCCCTCGTATTATTATTTCCTGATGAATGAGGAAAAAAGTGACAGGTAGTGATGTCAGAGGAATAGCCAGAGGTCAGATCCAGCCTCAGGCCACAGTCAGGATTTTGGATTTAATTTTAAATGTGATAAGAATCCAGAGTGTGAAGGGAAGCGAAGCAAATGATTGTTATATGTTCAAAGAATTTCTCAGTTATGCAGAGAATAGTGAAGGCCAACTTCACTTGTGTATGGATTCTCATCTTTTATTTCCTTCTTAATATACATAAACATCATTCTTGAAATTAGCCTCCCTCTCTGGCATCATCAATTGCTTTTTCTCTACCTGATCATTTCCATTATCATACAAATGCAATGTTGTTTTACCATTTTAAAAAAGCCTGCCGACCACAATAAAGTGCCGACCACAAAGTGCTGTAATCCCAGCACTTTGGGAGGCTGAGACAGGAGGATTGCTTTAGCCAGCAGTTCAAGACTGGCCTGTACAACATAGCAAGACCTTGTCTCTATTTAAAAAAAAATGTATAAAAGTCAGCCAGGTGTGGTGGTACGTGCCTGCACTCCTAGCTACTTAGGAGCCTGAGGTGGTAGGATCTCTTGAGCCCAGGAGTTTGAGGCTGCAGTGAGCCATGATCATGCCACTGCTTTTCAGCCTGGATGACAGAGCAAAACTGTCTCCAAAAAGAAAGAAAAGGCTCTCATGATCCCATGTGCCCCAACCCTTGTAGTTACCACCACCCCATTTCATTGCTTTCTTTCACACGCACACACAAGAAAAGCTTTTTTGAAAGAGTTCTTTGTTGGCCGGTCGTGGTGGCTTATGCCTGTAATCCCAGCACTTTGGGAGGCCGAAGTGGGCAGATCACGAGGTCATGAGATCGAGACCATCCTGGCTAACAAGGTGAAACCCCATCTCTACTAAAAATACAAATAATTAGCTGGACGTGGTGGCATGTGCCTGTAGCCCCCGCCACTTGAGAGGCTGAGGCAGGAGAATCACTTGAACCAGGGAGGCAGAGGTTGCAGTGATCTGAGATCGCGTCACTGCACCCCAGCCTGGGCAACAGAGCTAGACTCCATCTCAGAAAACAAGAAAAAAAAATTGGGTCATTCTTGTCATACCCAACTAAATCAGAGCCAAGGGGCTGGGGGAAAAGCACTCAGGGTACAAAACATTGCTCCAAGAATGTAATTCTCTGCAAGCCTGACTGCTGAAACTGCCTCTTGTAATCTGAGACCAATTTTATCTACAAATGCTAAGATAACTTGTTGAAACTCTAGGACTAACTTTGCTGACTTCCATCACTCACCAGAGCTTGCCAGCTCCCCAAACCCTAACTAGTGCCAAAGAACTTTCTCGAAAAGCAATATGTAACATATCTTCTATTTCTAAAACCTCTAACCTTCTCTTTGTTCTTCAGACATACTGAAGACCATCCTGTCTGCATATATGCCCCAAATTGCTATTCTTTCTTTCCAAATAAAAAGTTTTAATTTAGAGACTTGTCGCCACATTTTTATTCTGACTTCAACATACTAAAGCCCTAAGCTAGGAGTCTGCTTGACTCATCTGAGAATCTACAAAGCAACCAATATGTCTAAAGCCTAATGAGTGAGGGAAAAAAGTGGTAGGAAGTGAGGTCAGAGGAATAGCCAGGGGTCACATCCATCATCAGGCCATAGTCAGTATTTTAGATTTCCTTTTAAACGTGGTAATACACCAGAGTGTGAGGAGAAGAGAAGAGAAGAAGAGAAGAGAGAAGAGAAGAGAAGAGAAGAGAAGAGAAGAGAAGAGAAGAGAAGAGAAGAGAAGAGAAGAGAAGAGAAGAGAAGAGAAAAGAAGAGAAGAGAAAAGAAGAGAAGAGAAGGATTGTTGTACAGTAAAATAATTGCTCAGTTGTGTGCAGAATAGGCTAAGGAGGGCAAGACTTAAAAGTGGAGATATACAAACCTGTTAGGAAGTTACTGTGCTGGTTCAAGCTAGAGATGATAAAGGCTGATTAGTGAGGTTAAAAAATACATTGGAGGCTGGGCACAGTGGCTCACGCCTGTATCCCAGAACTTTGGGAGGCCAAGGCTAGAGGATCACGAGGTCAGGAGTCCGAGACCAGCCTGGCTAACATGGTAAAACCGCATCTCTACTAAGAATACAAAAATTAGCCGGGCGCAGTGGTGGAAGCCTGTAATCCCAGCTACTTAGGAGGCTGAGGCAGGAGAATCACCTGAACCCAGGAGGCAAAGGTTGCAGTGAGCTGAGATTGCACCACTGCACTGTAGCCTGGGCGACAGAGCAAGACTGTCTCAAAAAAAATACATTTGAAGGTAAAGCTAATTGTACAGATGGATGTTGTACAGATGGATGGATTAACAGATGTAAGAGAAAGAAAATAATTCTAGATTTCTGGCTTTAACAATGGGGCAAATGGTGGTACTCTTCAAGGAAAAGCAGGAACACACAGAGAGGAGGAAGAAAGATGGGAGGGGAGAAGCAATAGTTTGAGACAAATCTATAGTATGGCTTAAGAGAGCTAATTTTTTTGATATCTATTATTTATCAAATGGAGAGGTTAACTAAGCAGTCGGATATGTACATATGGAGTTCAAGGCAGAAGTCAAGGCTAGAAATAAACATTTGGAGTCAAATATAAAAGATATTTAATATGGCCGGGCATGGTGGCTCATGCCTATAATCCCAGCACTTTGAGAGGCCGAGGCATGTGGATCACGAGGTCAAGAGATTGAGACCACCCTGGTCAATATGGTGAAACCCTGTCTCTACTAAAAATACAAAAAAATTAGCTGGGCATGGTGGCGCATGCCTGTAGTCCTAGCTACTCGGGAGGCTGAGGCAGGAGAATTGCTTGAACCCAGGAGGCAGAGGTTGCAGTAAGCTGAGATCACTCCATTGCACTCCAGCCTGGGTAACAAGAGCAAAACTCCATCTTAAAAAAAAAAAAAAAAAAATACATAATACCATGTGTATTAGTCACGGCTCTTCAGAGAAACAGAACCAATAGGATACAGGTATGTAGAGGGATTTTTTTTTTTTTTGAAGAATTGACTCACATTTTTGTTGGAATTAATAGGATACATGCATGTAGAGAGATTTTTTTTTTATTGCATTTTAGATTTTGGAGTACATGTGAAGAACATGCAAGATAGTTGCACAGGTACACACGTGGCAGTGTGATTTGCTGCCTTCCTCCCCTTTACCTATATCTGGCATTTCTCCCCAACTCCCTACCCCTCGCTGTCCCTCCCCTATTCCCCCCAACAGACTCCAGTGTGTAGTGCTCCCCTCCCTGTGTCCATGTGTTCTCATTGTTCAACACCTGCCTATGAGTGAGAACATGCAGTATTTCATTTTCTGTTCCTGTGTCAGTTTGCTGAGAATGATGTTCTTCAGGTTCATCCATGTCCCTACAAAGGACACAAACTCATCGTTTTTGATTGCTGCATGATATTCCATGATGTATATGTGCCACATTTTCCCCGTCCAGTCTATCATCAATGGGCATTTGGGTTGATTCCAGGTCTTTGCTATTGTAAACAGTGCTGCAATGAACATTCATGTGCATGTGTCCTTATAGTAGAACGATTTATAGTCCTTTGGATATATACCCAGTAATGGATTGCTGGGTCAAATGGAATTTCTATTTCTAGGTCCTTGAGGAATCGCCATACTGTCTTCCACAATGGTTGAACTAATTTACACTCCCACTAGCAGTGTAAAAGTGTTTCTATTTCTCCACAGCTTCTCCAGCATGTGTCTCCAGATTTTTTAATGATCGCCATTCTAACTGGCGTGAGATAGTATCTCAATGTAGTTTTGATTTGCATTTCTCTAACGACCAGTGATGATGAGCATTTTTTCATGTTTGTTGGCCTCATGTATGCCTTCTTTTGTAAAATGTCTGTTCATATCCTTTGCCCACTTTTGAATGGGCTTGTTTGTTTTTTTCTTGTAAATCTGTTTTAGTTCTTTGTAAATTCTGGATATCAGCCCTTTGTCAGATGGGTAAACTGCAAAAATTTTTTCCCATTCTGTTGGTTGCTGATTCACTCTAATGACTGTTTCTTTTGCCGTGCAGAAGCTGTGGAGTTTGATTAGGTCCCATTTGTCTATTTTGGCTTTTGTTGCCAATGCTTTTGGTGTTTTGGTCATGAAGTCCTTGCCTACTCCTATGTCCTGAATGGTTTTGCCTAGATTTTCTTCTAGGGTTTTTATAGTGTTAGGTCTTATGTTTAAGTCTTTAATCCATCTGGAGTTAATTTTAGGGTAAGGTGTCAGGAAGGGGTCCAGTTTCTGCTTTCTGCACATAGCTAGCCAGTTTTCCCAACACCTGTAGAGACAGTTTTTTTTGAAGAATTGACTCACACTGTTGTGAGGGATGATAATTCTGAAAACTCTAAGGCTGGCCCATAGGCTGGAAATTCAATCAGGAGTTGATGTAGCAATCTTGAGACTAAAGGCAGTCTGGGTGCAGAATTGCTTCTTCTTTGGGAAACCTCCATCTTTTCTCTAAGGCCTTCGACTAATTGAATGAAGCCCATCCACATTATGGAGGGTCACTAGCTTTACTCAAAGCCTACTGATGTCATTGTAAGTCACATCTAAAAAATACCTTCGCAGCAACATCTACACTCTTATCCAACCAAACAACTGGGCACCGTATACTAGCCAACTTGACACATAAAATTAACTGTCACTCCATGGGCCTAGATGAAATGACCCAGGAGTTATTGTATTTAGAGAAATAAAGATGGCCCAGGACAGAGCCCTGGCACACTCAAACTGCAAAAGGGGAGAAGGATCCTGCACTGGAGCCTAAGAAGGAGCTGGAGGGAGGTATGAGAAAAACCAAGACTGTGTGGTATCTCAGAAGCCAAAGAAGAAGTGCTCCAAAAAGGAAGATCAACTATATCAAGTGCTGCCAAGAAATCCTGTAAGGTAAGGGCTGAGTCATGGAGGTCATTTACGAAAATCATGGGAGGTAAGAAATCCTAATTAGAAGAAGTTCAGCAAGAAACAGAAAATAAGAAAATTGAGGTAGTAAGTATAGCCAACTCTTAAAGGGGTTTTGCTATAAAAACAAAAAAATAGAAAGGAGCTAAAGAGAGATGTAGGATAGAGGAAGATTTTTTTGGTTATTTTCATTTATCTAAGAAGGAAAGTATTATAGCATGTTTTTATGCTAAAGGAATAATCCATTAGAGGGAACGTTGGCAATTTCCAAAGAGGAAAGGAGCAAAAGAGATCATTGCAGAACCAAAGTCCATTGAATACACACTTACTATGCAGCGTAGACTTTGAAGTCAAATCCAGGTTCTATTACTAACTACACAGCCAAGTTACTCAGTCTCTCTGCTTCTTCATCTTCTTTGTACAAGGCCCTTTGTGGTCCTTCCACCTCTTCATCTCACCCAAACCTCCCCTTAATCCCCACAATCCACTCATTAGCTGCTTCAGCCCCTGTAATTACTGTGCTCCCTCCTACCACAGGGCTTTGCTAACTTCCAAGCATTCAGCAAATCTAGTCTGAACAGGTTTTCCTTGGGAAAACCAACAGAGAAGTCAAATCCCCCTCTGAAATGTTCCCATGTTACCATGTATTCTTCCTGCCTAGTACTTATCACAATTACAATCATACTTTTATGAGAATTTGATCAATGTCTACCTCCCCCACTCTAGAATAGCACAGTCCAAGAGGACTTTCTGTGGGGATGAAAATGTTCTAAATCTACATTGTCCAATCCAATAGCCACTAACTACATGTGACTATTAAGTACATAAAAGATGGCTAGTACAGGTGTGGATGTGAAGTTCTTATGTTATTTAAGTTTAATTAATATATATGTACATAGCCACATGTGAGCAGGGACCATCATGTTCCCAGCACTTAATATAGTGTGCACACATAGTAATCACTCGATAAATACTTGTTGAGAGATTAAATCTGTAAAAATGCAGATATTACTTAGTTATAACAAATTATTCAGTTATTTTGTTCCATCTTTTTTCACAGAGAAAAGAATAAAAGCTTTTATATGGTAAATGTTAGGGGGTCCTCAGTTTTATAAAGGTAATTTGGCCTTTAAGAATTTGATCTATTGGCCAGGCATGATGGTTCACACCTGTAATCCCAGCACTTAGGGAGGCCAAGGCAGGCGGATCACTTGAGGTCAGGAGTCCAAGACCAGCCTGGCCAACATAGTGAAATCCCATCTCTACTAACATACAAAAAAATTAGCTGGGTATGGTGGTGAGCACCTATAATCCCAGCTACTTGGGAGACTGAGTCATGCAAATTCCTTGAACCCAGGAGGCTGAGGTTACAGTGAGCCAAGATTGCACCACTGTACTCCAGCCTGGACAACAGAGTGAGACGCCATCTTAAAAAAAAATTTTTTTTTGATCTATCCCAGAAGGAAGCTGGGATAATAAGTGAGAACATATTGGGTAGTTTGAATAAAACAACATCTGTACTATGCCCAGGAGGGTGCTGAGACGTAGTAGGTGCTCCAAATGTGGTGGTTCATAAGCTTCAATGGGTACAGAGAAGAGAAGTAAATAATGGTATGGACAAAATGGGGAAGGCTTCATAAAGCAAGTGATTTTTAAACCACAGCTTGAGGATAATGAAGGCAGCAGTAATGGAAGTGGAAGTAATGCCTAAAATTTTTCAGTGCCTCCTATATGCCTGACATAAATCTAGCTCTTACAGGATTAATCATCACAACAACCCAATGAGGGAGATATTATTTCCATTTTACAAATACTAAAAACTGAGGTATAAAGAGGACAATTATCTTGCTTATGGACATCTAGTTTAGATGTCAAAGCTGAGACTGACATGTAGGCCATGGATCTTACCACAGCGCTATTCTACCTCTAGAGCAGAACTTCTCTAGGCAGATGGAGCAATATATACAAAGACACAGCAGTAGAAAAGGAACAGTGTCTTTTGCATGGAGATGCAGAAGCATAAAGGGAGATGAATCTAAAAGACAGGTTGGATTCAGTTATTATACCTATATATGAAATTAGAAACTGAGATTCTAGGAAGTAACAAATCTTGCCAAAGGTCATAAAGCAGGTAAGTGTTGGAGCTGGGATATAAATCCAGGTGTGCCTACCTCCAAAATCCATTGTTTGTCTTATAATTAAATAACATATAGTGAGGAACAGGCTAAAAAGAGGTAAAAGCAAAAGGTAAATCTGGTAAACCTGATTTGTAGGCACAAAAAAAAAAAAAAACCACCTTCTGATAATGACCAAGGAAAAAAAATCATTCATGAAACATCCATCCTGAAAACTTTGGAATGTACTCAGGGGACTATGACCTCTAGTCATTCTGTCTTTATTTCTTTTGTTTATTTGTTTGTTTCTTGGAGATGGAGTCTTGCTCTCCAAGTGGCACAATCATAGCTCACCGCAGCCTCCAACTCCTGGGCTCAAGTGATTCACCTGCCTCAGCTTCCCAAGTAGCTGGGACCAGAGGCACACACGACCATCCCTGGCTAATTTTTTAAAATTTCTTGTAGAAACAGGGTCTCACTATGTTGCCTAGGCTGGTATTGAACTCCTGGGCTCAAGCAATCCTCTCACCTCAGCCTCCCAAAGTGCTGAGATTACAGGCATGAGCTACTGTGCCCAACTCCCATCTTTATTTCTCATATCAAACTATATGAAAGACATCAGTTTACATGTCTGCCACTCTTAGAACCATCACTTATTGAGCACCTCTGTGCCAGGAGCTTTACATGTTCTCATTAGTCATCTCAATAACCCTTTGGGACATGTATTATCTCCATTTACAGATGAGTAACCCAAGGTTAAGTGACTGGCCCAAGAGCTGACAGCTCTTCTCTCTCCACCACAGTATTATTTACTGAGGGGTTGGTCTTTGTTACTCTGGTATCTGGCACAGTGCCTTTCCCATAATGGGCACTCACTCAGGATTTGAATTCAGCTGGCACTTGAGCAGGCTTTTGACTATTAGTGAAGTGGAAAATAGAAGAAAGGGAGTGTAAGGTGTTCTGATAAACCAGTTCTGGGTGGTGGTGGGGAGGCCCGAATTTGTAGTATTTGCTAATTTCTGGAGTTGAAATACTCCCACTTTGGCTAATTTCAAGCTACCAACATATTCCAAAAATTCCTTAATGTTTAACAAGGGCTCTCTTGAGCTGGTACGAGCCAGCTCCAGCACACTGCCCAAAGGGTACACACCATCAGGTACTTCTCTGTCTTCTCTTCACAGCAGTTTTCTATACTTAGACTTCACTGCAACCTCAGAAGAATAAGGATTGTTCTCCCGCTGCTAAAGCTCACCTTTACCAGAGCACTACAACCTATAAACTATCCCAATTCCAAGTGGTCTTAGGGGACCCCACCTTTCTTCAACATCTTCTTCCTATCTTGTATTCAGGACCATTCAAGCCATTCTGCCTTCAAATGTGCCCAGGTCTCCTCTTGTAAATCTCTGAGCTAATCCTGTAGCATCATCTAGCTTTCTATTAACAAGCAGTATAACTTGATAGTTACAAGAGCCTGCACTGAAGTCACATAACCTGGCTTTTCTGCTGGCAAGCTGTGTGCCCTTAGGCAAGTTCTGTTACCTCTCTGTGCCTTTGTTTACTCACCTATAAAATGGTGATAAACACAGTAGCTACACCTCAGGTGGTGACTGTGGAGAATTAGATGAATAAATAGATGTAAAGGATGTGAAGGACTCAATACTTCAGTTATTCTAATCATTATGTCCTCATGCATGGTATAAATAAATCCATGATGACCTCAGTGTGGTCAGAAGTTTGGATTTTCCCCTTTTACAAGTTGGTCATTCCCAGTAACTGTCAACAATGCATTACGGTAGACACTGATCCTAACTCAAGGAGTAACACATTAATTTTTCTTGTAATTAGCTGTCTATGGCTAAGCATGCCATTTTCCACAATGCTGCGTACATTCTCATTACTCAGAGCCTGTCTTTCCCTGTCAGAAGAAGAAAAACATAATTTTTTTAAAACAACTTGCTAAAAGGAGTGAAACAAACATGAGAAACTTCTTTAAACACTAGTGCCTGTGGCCGGGCGCGGTGGCTCACGCCTGCAATCCCAGTACTGTGGGAGGCTGAGGCAGGCAGATCACGAGGTCAGGAGATGGAGACCATCCTGGATAACATGGTGAAACTCCATCTTTACTAAAAATACAAAACATTAGCCAGACATAGTGGCATATGCCTGTAGTCCCAGCTACTTGGGAGGCTGAGGCATGAGAATAGCTGGAACCTGGGAGGTGGAGGTTGCAATGAGCCAAGATCACACCATTGTACTCCAGCCTGGGCAACAAGAGCGGAATTCCATCTTTAAAAAAAAAAGGCATTAAGACCAATTTCTCCACCCCAAAGACAGATGAGAACCTTATAATTATCCACCAATATATAACTGAATTCCTTTATCTACAGAGTATTATTATTTTGGTGTTTGTATGTTTTTTTTTGTTTTTGTTTTTTTTAGAAAGCCAGCTGACTGGCCGGTCGTAGTGGCTCACACCTGTAATCCAAGCAGTTTGGAGGCCAAGGCGGGCAGATCACCTGAGGTCGGGAGTTCAAGAGCAGCCTGACCAACATGGCGAAACCCCGTCTTCAAAAAAAAATAGAAAGCCAGCTGACTGTTGCTTTGGGGGCAGGGGTCTCAGGAGCTCTTGCTGGGGCGGGTCCACTTCCTCTTCATGATCATAGGCTTCCGGCTGCACAGGATGGCGCTGGTTCTGCGGATGGCTGTCATGCGCAGGTTTGGGGCGGTGCTCGTTGTTGTGGATCATGTGTCTGATGCTGCTGCTGAGAGTGGTGAGAGCGTTCTTATTGATGGTGGTCCAGTCCGCACCTAGGAAGTGGTAGGCTTCCGCTGGATGGATCTCCGCTTCATGACCACCACGACACCTCTGCCATTGGCTGCGGCTCCATGCCCACAGTCTTGCAGTCAAACAGCCCGATGTAGCGGAAGGAGTTGCGGGCCTTCAAGTTATTGGGCTCAGTACTGTAGGTCGGCTTATTCCTCTTGATCAGGAAACTGTAGCAGTTCCGCACGACCATCCGCTGCAGATGCGCAGACATGGCGGCCACTCCTCTTGCAGCAGTGGCCGGAGACAGAAAAAGTATCTACAAATTTTAAATTCTTTTTTTTTTTTTTTGAGACGGAGTCTCGCTCTTGTCACCCAGGCTGGGGTACAATGGCGCGATCTCGGCTCACTGCAACCTCTGGCTCCCGAGTTCAAGCAATTCTCCTGCCTCAGACTCCCGAGTCTGGGATTACAGGCACCAGCCACCATGCCCAGCTACTTTTTTGTATTTCTAGTAGAGATGGGGTTTGACCATGCTGGCCAGGAACGCCTTGGTCTCCCAAAGTGCTGGGATTACAGGCGTGAGTCACCGCGCCCAGCACGGCCCTAATTGCTTATTTAATCTTTCTTAAAGTGAATCCAAACACCCTCTAAATGCTTATTTAATCTTTCTTAAAGTGAATTCAAATACATTCCTTCCTTCCCTCCTTCCCTCTCTTCTTGTCTCCTTCCCTCCCTTCCTCCCTTCCTCCCTTCCTTCCTGTCTCTCACTCTGTTGCCCAGGCTTGAGTGTACGGGCATGATCTCGGCTCACTGCAACCTCCAGCTCCCAGGTTCAAGCGATTCTCCTGCCCCAGCCTCCTCAGTAGCGGAGATTACAGGCACGTACCACTATACCGGGTTGATTTTTTTGTATTTTTAGTAGAAACAAGGTTTCACCATGTTGGCCAGGCTGGTCTCAAACTCCTGACCTCAGTTGACCTACCCAGCTCAGCTTCCCAAAGTGCTGGGATTATAGGCCACCGAGCCAGGACTGTTTAATCTTTCAGTAATCTCAGGAATACCCTGAGCCTGTATTGCTATAAAGGAGTCTAGATTACCTCCTATTCTCCTTTACAGGATTGAATGTTGACCTTTAAGTGGCTTTCCTCTTTCTTGGAGAGAAAACATATATTAGGCCAAAATGGCAAAGTATTTTCCGTCTCACTACCATCAAATAGTGGCCATATTAAGGTGTTTCTATATTTATGATTTAAACATGAGACAAATGAGCATACAATGAAAAGCCTAGGGCCCTTAAGAATCATGATAAATCTACTCTGCCTATATCTAGAAATGGAACAACGAAGCCTGAATGACAGCATATCTGTTTAAAACATGGTTTCTTGTAAGCCCACTGTTGAGACCTGTTGCTCAGAAAAAAACACTGCTTTGAAAATATTACTGCTCATTGACAGTGTATGTGGTCACCCAAGAGGTCTGATGGAGATGTAGAAGGAGATGGATGTTGTTTTCATGCCTACTAACATAATATCCATTCTGCAGCCCAGGCATAAAGAGGTAATTTTGACTTTCAAGTCTTATTATTTAAGAAATGTGTTTTATAAGGATATAGCTGTCATAGACAGTGATTCCTCTGATGGATCTGGCCAAAGTAAGTTGAAAACCTTCTGGAAAGAATTCACCAATCTAGATGCCATTCAGAACATTCCGGATTCATGGGAAGAAATCAACATATCAACATTAACAGGACTTTGGAAGAAGGTGATTCCAACCCTCATGAGTGACTTTGATGAGTTCAAGACTTTAATAGAGGAAGTAACTGCAGATATGGTGGAAATAGCAAGAGAAGCAGAATTGGGAGAGAAGGCCAGGTATGGTGGTGCAAATATATAACTCTAACACTTTGGGAAGCCAAGGTGGGAGGATTGCTTGAGCTCAGGAATTCAAGACTAACTAGCCTGGGCAACATGGTAGGCTAATTTTTTTTTTTTTTTTTTTTTTGAGACGGAGTTTCTTTCTTGTAGCCCAGGCTGGAGTGCAATGGCACAATCTCAGGTCACTTCAACCTCTGCCTCCTAGGTTGAAGCGATTCTCCTGCCTCAGCCTCCCAAGTAGCTGGGATTACAGGCACACGCCACCATGCCCGGCTAATTTTTTATATTTTTAGTAGAAATGGGGTTTCACCGTGTTAGCCAGACTGGTCTCAAAACCCTGACCTCAGGTGATCTACTCCCAAAGTGCTGGGATTACAGGTGTGAGCCACCATACACAGCCTTTTTTTTTTTTAAATATATTTTTTTAGTAGAGACAGGATTTCACTGTCTTGGCCAGGCTGGTCTTGAACTCCTGACCTTGGAATCTACACGCCTTGGCCTCCCAAAGTGCTGGGAGTAGAGGCATGAGCCACCATGCCCAGCCAAAAACCTATGATTATTTCTTACTACTCACTAAGTATAGGGAACTCTTTGAGCTTATGAAGTTATTGATTAGTACACACCATTTAAAGGGCTCTAGAACCTTAGCATTGTTCCTACTCTGACCCATGAATCCATTCCAGTAATGTATCCTAAGAAAATAATTCTAAATACAGCAAAAACTTCATGTACAAAGAAAAATATTTCTAACCTATTATTCCACAATAACAAAAAGCTGGCAACAGACTATTTGCCCAAGTATAGTAGAATGACTAAGTAAATACATGGACTATTTTGTAGTCATTGAGAAAATTACTAAGCACTTGTATAACACGTAAAATATTAAATTATAAAACAGAACACAGTTTACAAAAAAGATGTAAAATATTAATAGTAGCTATCTTTGGATGCGATTATATGTGATTTTTTTTTGTATTTTATTATACTCTACCCTCCAAATTTTTTTTTTTTTGAGACGGGGTTTCACTGTTGTTACCCAGACTGGAGTGCAATGGCATGATCTCGGCTCACTGCAACCTCCGCCTTCTGGGTTCAAGCAATTCTCCTGCCTCAGCCTCCTGAGTAGCTGGGACTACAGGCGCGCACCACCATGCCCAGCTAATTTTTGTATTTTTAGTAGAGATGGGGTTTCACCTTGTTGACCAGGATGGTCTTGATCTCTTGACCTCGTGATCCACCCGCCTCAGCCTCCCAAAGTGCTGGGATTATAGGCGTGAGCCACCGTGCCTGGCCTAGCCTCCAAATTTTTAAAAAATAAACATTTTTGTAGACAAAACCAAAAATGCTAAAGAATATTTTGAGCCTCATTAATAAAATAAACAGAACAACCTCACATCTCCTTACTCTCTATGGGAGAAAGCCTCCTCACTTTTCAACTCTTAATCTCAGCGTTCTCTGCCCCAGGCCTTATAAGCTTTGCTCTAAATAAACATGCCATGATGTTTCCTAAGTTGTTTTCATTTACAGCCTTAAATGTCTTACCCACTACCTTTGTATCGGGTACCCACCTGGAAAATACCTATCCAGCCACTACTCGGTGATCCCACAGCCTTTAGAAATACCAGATTACACTGAAATTGGAAGCGGGGCAGAGGCAAACAAAATGATCTTAAAGAATGAGGTTGTGCCAGGCTGGACGAGGTGGCTCACGCCTGTAATTCTAGCACTTTGGGAGCCCGAGGTGGGCGGATTACCTGATGTCAGGAGTTTGAGACCAGCCTGACCAACATGGCAAAACCTCATTTCTACTAAAAATACAAAAAAAAAAGGCCGGGCGCGGTGACTCACGCCTATAATCCCAGCACTTTGGGAGGCCGAGGCGGGTGGATCACGAGGTCAAGAGATTGAGACCATCCTGGTCAATGAGGTGAAACCACGTCTCTACTAAAAATACAAAAATTAGCTGGGCATGGTGGTGCGCACCTGTAGTCCCAGCTACTCAGGAGGCTGAGGCAGGAGAATTGCTTGAACCCAGAAGGCGGAGGTTGCAGTGAGCCGAGACTGTGCCATTGCACGCCAGTCTGGGTAACAACAGCGAAACTCCGTCTCAAAAAAAAAAAACAAAAACAAAAAAATTAGTCAGGCCTGGTGGTGGGAGCCTATAATCCCAGCTACTCAGGAGGCTAAGGCATGAGAATCGCTTGAACCCAGGAGGTGGAGGTTGCAGTGAGCCGAGATTGCACCACTGCACTCCAGCCTGGGGGACAAGAGCGAGACTTTGTCTCAAAAAAAATAAAATAACAAATAGAAAAAAAGAACGAGTTTGTGTCTTATTCAACTTTTCTCCCCTGCCAGTGCTTGGCATATAAATAGGTGCCTAAAACAATCTGCTGAATGTGTAAGCATTAATACTAAAGTGGTGAGAGCTGAGGTAGCTAGGGTACCTCTGCTTGTGAGGCAGTTTTATTTAAGGAAAGCAATCCCTGAATAGGTAACTGGGGAAGCAGACAGGCCTGGGCTTGACACAGCAACACTGAGCAACGTATTCAAATGCTAATCATTTGCTTCCTCACAACAACAGAATTAATTCCAACAACCACACAAAGCTGTTGTGAGGATCAAGTAAGAGAGAGATAAGAAACTGTCATAAAAAGAAACTCAAATATTAGTGCCTCTCCCTCTTGCTGAAGGCATTAAAGCCATGTCCTCTATCAGCAGCCAGGAGACACAAATAATACACATCAGAACCCCCAAGCTAGTGACATATGGCATCCAGATACACACTTTTGGCAAACTGCTGAAATCTTATGTCTGTTTTCCAAATTGAGGGCTATAGAATGGCAGCAGCCACCAAATTTAGATGATTGCATTGATGTTGTCTGTTGCTTAGATCAAAGCTACTTAGGAAGACACCCAAAGTATAGATACAAGGTCTTCGTAGATCAACAGGCTCTGTGAGTGGCAGCTCATCCACAGGGATAGCCAAGGTGTAGCTGGCATGGTGGCAGATTGTCCAACCTCTGTCACCAGACACATCATCACATGCATGTGTGACAGACACCATTCAATCTAGGAACACCTATCATGATATCGACACCATGAACATTATACACAAGACACATAGGGCAAGTCATGGAAGGTTCTGAGAAGATAGTCTCAGGAAGTAGTGGGTGGGTTGCCAGTAGGCTCACCAGAAAGTCAGCCACCCTGTACACATACTTTACTATGTTTTTATTTCTTCATCATCAGAAGATGATATCACCAATTACCTGATTGGTGGTACTCTGAAGATTAAATAGGAGAACATGCATAAGCCTCTGGCACAGGGAGGATAGCATTTATGACTAATACCACTGCCTACACACAAGACATGAATGCCAGACCTTCCGGTGCTGAGTTTCTCTCTATCTCAGTTAACTCAGTTGACCTTGATGGTTGTTTTCAAATAATAACCTTAACTTATGTAGACTGCCCAAAATACAGCCAAAAGAAGGAAGAAGAAAATGTTAGGGTGAAGACAGAGGATTCCCTGGTAGCACAACTTCTCTTCTTGGTTTTCTTTGAGAAATGATACTATTTCAACCACAAGAATTCATGGGGCAGTCACTCCATTACCAATCCAGTTAGGCAGTGCACAGGTCCTCAACTCTAAAGGAAGATAAAAAGAATCTGCTGGAAAAAAACACAAGCAAGTCTAACTCCATTAGACAGGAAGCACACTTGCCTAGCATATTACTGTAGTTCCAGTGCTTAGTGTACAGAGCCTAGTGCACAGCAGGCACTCAATAAATACGCTGAATAAATAACTGCACCCACCTGATTTCATACCAAATAGTCCTGTCTAGCAAATTAATCTCTGGCTCTTTAAATACCTCCTATGATCCAGGCCCTGGGAAAATTACATAGCCAATACTGGTATAATCATGCCTATGGAGGGTTCCTTTGGAGCCTAGCAGAAACAAATAAAGGAGGTGTTTATTCATGAAACCAGCACTTAGAGACTACATCAGCAGTTCCAGCTCCATTATTACAAGCTCCGTGAAGACATGAACCAGATCACATCTCTCTCCTGTGTGGCTAGGGCCCACTGCACATGTAGGATGGTGTTTCTCCTATCCTTGGGAGAAATAAATCTGGCAAAATCAAAACTGTGTTAATATTCATGCTTCCTACTTGCCTTAGAACAGGGGTGTCAAACTTGGTCTTAGTCCCCCTTTGCACTCAAATAATTATTTGATAAAAATAAATAATTATTGATGACTCCAAAGAGCTTTGGTTTATATGGGTCATAGCTATCAACATTTACTGCATTAAAAATGAAAACTGGGAGCTGGGCGTGGTGCCTCACACCTGTAATTCCAGCACTTTGGGAGGCTGAGGTGGGCGGATCAGGAGGTCAGAGGTTTGAGACCAGCCTGACCAACATGGTGAAACCTAGTCTCTACTTAAAAATACAAAAATTAAGGGGAGGGAGCAAGCCAAGGCCAGCCTTGCCACCTCCCCTATAAAAAAAAAAATAAAAACACAAAATACAAAAATTAGCCGGGCATGGTGGTACACATTTGTAATCCCAGCTACTTGGGAGGCTGAGGCAGGTGAACTGCTTGAGCCCAGGAGGTGGAGGTTGTGGTGAGCCAAGAGCACACCATTGCACTCCAGCCTGGGCGACAGAGCAAGACTCCTTCTCAAAAAAAAAAAAAAAAAAGAAAAGAAAAAAAGAAAACTGGGATATTTAAAAATATTAATTTACCTAAAATTAAAAATAATTATTTTATTACATGTAAATAAAATATTTTAATAAAAGTAACTATATTTTCCAAAACAAAATAAATACATCGGCTGGGTGCAGTGACTCACGCCTATAATCCCAGCACTTTGTGAGGCCAAGGCAGGTCGATCACCTGAGGTCAGGAGTTCAAGACCAGCTTGAACAACATGGGGAAACCCTGTGTCTACTAAAAATACAAAATTAGCCAGGTGTGGCAGCGCATGCCTGTGATCTCAGCTATTTTGGAGGCTGAGGCAGGAGAATTGCTTGAACCTGGAAAATGGAGGTTGCAGTGAGCTGAGATTGCGTCACTGTACTCCAGCCTGGGCAACAAGAATGAAACTTCATCTCAAAATAAATAAATATAGTGAGAAGACGTGTGTTGTTTCACATTTTTTGACATTTTTTAGCATCTGTGCTAATAGAAGACAACTAGATTCCCATATTTGCTTCCGGATTAATTTGTTGCAATATATGTTGTTTTGGTAGAAGTAAATGAAAAATCTAGTCTTACACAGAAAAGTAGTTGGAAAAGGAGAAATATAATAGATTTTTCAGTCACCCCACCTCTCCACTGGCAATACACATTTTAAAAGATAAGAATAGGCTGGGCAGGTGGCTCATGCCTGTAATCCCAGCACTTTGGGAAGCCAAGGCAGGGAGATCACAAGGTCAGGAATTCGAGACCAGTCTGGCTGATAGGGTGAAACCCCATCTCTACTAAAAATACAAAAAAAAAAAAAATTAGCCAGGCATGGTGGCACATGCCTGTAATCCCAGCTACTCGGGAGGCTGAGGCAGGAGAATTGCTTGAACCCAGGAGGCAGAGATCGCGAAACTGCATGCACTCCAGCCTGGGCAACAGAGCAAGACTCCTTCTCAAAAAAAAAAAAAAAAAAAGATAAGAATCATCTGAAGAATGACAGAGAAAATAAAGAGGACACTTAAGAAAGAGCAAGGGGCCAGGCATGGTGGTTTATGCCTGTAATCTCAGCATTTTGGGAGGTCAAGGTGGGCAGATCACAAGGTCAGGAGTTGGAGACCAGCTTGGCCAATCTGGTTAAACCTTGTCTCTTCTAAAAATACAAAAATTAGCTGGGCATGGTGGCAAGTGCCTGTAGTCCCCAGCTCCTCAGGAGGCTGAAGCAGGAGAATAACCTGAACCCAGGAGGTGGAGGTTGCAGTGGGCCAAGATCATGCCACTGACTCCAGCCTGGGTGACAGAGCCAGACTCTATCTCAGAAAAAAAAAAAGAGCAAGGGAAGTATAACTGGGAAACCACTAGGACAAAAGTCAATTCATATTCCAATGCTTATTTTGTGGGACTGACACATATTAAACCACAGTCTCTTAAACTTCCTTAGCCACTTGTTAACTGTTTTAGAAATAAAACATCTGCCACTTGTTACAAAAAATGCAAATTTTCCAGATTCAGAGAGTAAGTCCTTACAAATCATGCTCCCAAGCACTTAGTGCATCCATCCTGCCCATTTCTTCTGATGTTACCTCCTTTACTTTTCCCACATGTTCATTTGCTTAATCTTATATTCATTTAATATGCTTGTTTGGTTATTGTTCTGATTGGTTATTTTTCCCTAATTCACAGCAAGTTGCAAGTGACTTAAGTTTCCCAGGAAATTTTATTTTTTTATAAAAGGCTACTTTTGGACCCAGAAGAAATTTTAATTATTGAGATTTCCTTTCATACTATGGAGTATTTAGGGGCAAGAGCCTTCCTAAGGAATAGAAGGAATAGAAGGGTCACAGTAGCAGGACAGATAACATGGTATTATGGAAATAACACAGACTTCAGAATTACATAGGCCTGTGTCCAAATACTCAGGAGGCTGAGGCAGAAGAATCGCTTGAACCCAGGAGGTGAAGGCTGCAGTGAGCCAAGATCGTGCCACTGCACACCAGCCTGGGTGAGAGAGAGCAAGACTCTGCCTGTCTCAAAAAAAAAGAAAAGAAAAAAGAAAAAGAAAAAGAATAAAAGAAATGAAACTTATATGCCAATTACTCATATCTCCCAATTGCCATGTATCTTTCTCTGTCTAGTTGAATCCTTTCCTTATATTCCTTTGGAGACTAAACAGAGACTGTTAATGCCCAGAACTCTGCTTCCTGTAAGCTACTAGGTGACATGAAGTTTATCTCTTCTTCCTGATCTGGAGAGGTTTTCCTCTAGAAATGATGGTGCTGGCACTAGCAGATTTTTTTTTTTTTTAAAGACAGAGTCTGACTCTGTCACCCAGGCTGGAGTGCAGTGGCATGGTCTCAGCTCACTACAACCTCCGCCTCTTGGGTTCAAGTGGTTCTCCTGCCTCAGCCTCCCAAATAGCTGGGACTACAGGCGCATGCCATCACACCCGGCTAATTTTTCTGTATTTATAATAGAGGCAGGGTTTCATTATGTCGTTTGAGACCACACTGGTCTCAAACTCCTGACCTTGTGATCCGCCTGCCTTGGCCTCCCAAAGTGCTGGAATTACAGGCATGAGCCACCGCGTTCAGCCAAGCAGATTTTTTTTGTTTGTTTTTCGAAACAAGGTCTTACTAAGTCATCCAGGCTAGAGTGCAGTGGTGCAATCATAGCTCCCTGTAACCTTGAACTCCTTTGCTCAAGCAATCCTTCTGCCTCAGCCTTCTGAGTAGCTAGAACTACAGGCACATGCTACTGCGCCTGGGTGCCTGGCTAATTTTTTATTTTTGTAGAGACAGTGTCTCACTCTGTTGCCCAGGCTGGTCTGAAACTCCTGGCTTCAAGCGATCCTACCACCTTGGCCTCTCAAACTGTTGGGATTAGAGGCGTGAGTCACCAATGGGCCTAGATTAGATTCTTAATAACATTTGTCTGTGAGCCCTTGGGATTTTCTGACTCACAAAAAAAGAGCACCATAGTCTTAGAAAGAAGCTTTCCGTTTACTCCACCAACCTTTCTGTCCCTGGGATTTCCCAGTTGCACTCTTTATGGATCTTTTACCTTTACTGATCTTTGCATGTCCCTGCCACAATTTCTGAATGCCTCTCAATTTATATTTAATTCTAATACTATTTGTATTACTTATCAGAAAGGAGACAAATTTGCAAAAACAAAGTTACTATAAACCAGCAAATACTGTATCTGTAATTAGATTCATGAGTAATAAGAGGGATAATTCCAATAATAGGAAACGCTGGGTAATACCAAGGCTATAAACTAGGTAAAGGCTAAAGGTAAATACGATTAGCTCCAGGGGAGTGCCCTGTCTAAATGACCAAAAAGAGGAATCAGCTAGCAGGTACTCACTAAACAATAAAAACCTCAAGGAAGACAAATTAAAGCCAGACAGAACAAATTAAATAAAATGTACAGTCAGCAGGTATGATTTACATATTAAACAGAAACTTACCTGTTTGATCAAGTTCAAGCACAAAATAAGGAACACACAGAGACTTAAATAACTTCTTTACCTGGAAGAAGTTGAGAAACAAGGAGGAAAATGAAAAATGAGGTTATAATCAACAGGAGAACCTCTTATCCAGCTTTGTTACTTCCTTCCTCAACCAGCCTTCTCCTTTGAAAATTTTCCATTTCACTTTTATGTAACCTACAAGATTCTCCCTGTTGACAGTAATGATATTTAAAAGAGTGTTTGAAGTCTATTGATTCTTTTTTTTTTAATTTTTTTTTTTTTTTTTGAGACGGAGTTTCACTGTTGTTACCCAGACTAGAGTGCAATGGCACAATCTTGGCTCACCGCAACCTCTGCCTCCTGGGTTCAGGCAATTCTCCTTCCTCAGCCTCCTGAGTAGCTGGGACTGCAGGCACGCACCACCATGCCCAGCAAATTCTTGTATTTTTAGTAGAGACGGGGTTTCATCTTGTTGACCAGGATGGTCTCGATCTCTTGACCTCATGATCCACCCGCCTCGGCCTCACAAAGTGCTGGGATTATAGGCGTGAGCCACCGCGCCCGGCCTTTTAATTTTTTTTTAAGACAAGGTTTCACCACGTTGATCAGGCTGGTCGTGAACTCCTGAACTCATGATCCACCTGCCTCAGCCTCCCAAAGTGCTGGGATTACAGGCATGAGCCACTGTGCCCGGCGAAGTCTATTGATTCTAATTCAATTGTCAATGATTCATCTGTATCACTTCACAAGATACATTTTATATGTTTAGTGACTCAGTCTACCTCACTATACATACATAGATAGATATAGATATAGATATAGATATAGATAGATATAGATATAGATATAGATATAGATATAGATATAGATATATAGATATATATAGTCTTTGTGGGGTATTTTCCTTTTTGTGGAGAATGGGGTCTCGCTATATTACCCAGGCAGGTCTCGAACTCCTGGTCTCAAGCTATCCTCCCACCTCTGCCTCCCTCAGAGCTGGGATTACAGGCGTAAGCCACAGCATCCGGCCTTATGCTTATCTTTTTGTGTGTGTGTTCTACCTCATTATAAAATGGATATGTTTTAAAAAGCACTGGAACACTTTTTTTTTTTTTTTTTTTTAGATGGAATCTCGATCTGTCACCAGGCTGAAGTGCAGTGGCGCTTTCTCAAATCACTGCAACCTCCACCTCCCAGTTTCAAGCGATTCTCCTGCCTCAGCCTCCTGAGCAGCTGGGATTACAGGCACACGCCACCATGCCCAGCTAATTTTTGTATTTTTAGTAGAGACGGGGTTTCACCATGTTGGCCAGGATGGTCTCGATCTCTTGACCTCGTGATCCACCCGTCTCGGCCTCCCAAAGTTCTGGGATTACAGGCGTGAGCCACCATGCCCAGCTAAGCACTGGAACACTTAATGTTTCCAAAGCATTATGTGGCAAACCTGGGGAAAAATATATTCTTACAATAGTCAAAGTATTATCTATTTTTTGGCTGAGTAACCCTCAACCAATAAATCAGTTACCAAAAAAAAAGTTTATTATGCTCTGAGACTATTAAATAAAACAAATAAACAAAAAATCATATGCTCATGGTTATAAAAAATAAAATTTTATTTAAAAGTTACTTATGTGACTAGATAGCATTTAAACTACTGACACGAGAGACATTCACGCATAAGACACAGCCTGTCAATAATTTAGGAAAGTTTAGAATCATATTCCTACAATTATACGATAAAATGTAAAAGGCCAGAGTAGCCTGAAGTTCACAGAGATGATCAATGAGGAAAATGTATTCTTCAAAAAAACAAATTGTATTCTTGTCTCATTCTAAACTTAACGACTAAAACAGTAGGCTTCGGCCCGGCGCGGTGGCTCACGCCTATAATCCCAGCACTTTGGGTGGCCGAGGCGGGTGGATCACGAGGTCAAGAGATCGAGACCATCCTGGTCAACAAGGTGAAACCCCGTCTCTACTAAAAATACAAAAAAAAATTAGCTGGGCATGGTGGTGCGCGCCTGTAGTCCCAGCTACTTGGTAGGCTGAGGCAGGAGAATTGCTTGAACCCAGGAGGCAGAGGTTGCCGTGAGCCGAGATCGCACCATTGCACTCCAGCCTGGGTAAGAATAGCGAAACTCCGTCTCAAAAAAAAAAAGAAAAGAAAAGAAAAAAAGAACAATGACAGGTCAAAGAGATCTGGGATTGCAAGAAGCACACGGAGAATCTATCTATCTATCACTAGTAGCAATCCTGACTGCTAGCCCAACTCTTCATTCCAGAACTAGGGCAGGGTTAAAATCAGAATTTCTGTTTATTTACTTATTTTATTTTTAAATTTTTATTTTATTATTATTATTTTGAGATAGAGTCTCGCTCTGTCGCCCAGGCTGTAGTTCAGTGGCACGATCTTGGCTCACTGCCACCTCTGCTTCTTGAATTTTAAATGATTCTCATGCCTCTGCTTCCTGCGTAGCTGGGATTACAAGTGTGCACCACCATGTCTAGCTAATTTTTACAGTTTTAGAAGAGACAGGATTTCACCATGTTGGCCAGCCTGGTGGTCCTGAACTTCTGGCCTCAAGTGATCTGCCTGCCTCAGCCTTCCAAAGTGCTGGAATTACAGGTGTGAGCCACTGTGCCCATATTTATTTATTTTAGAGATAGGGTCACTCTGTTACCCAGGCTAGAGTGCAGTGGCACAATCATTCTCATGTAAGCTGAACTCCTGGGCTCAAGTGATCCTCCCACCTTGGCCTCCTGAGAAGCTAGGACTGCAGGCACATGCAAACCATGATATATATAATATACATATACATATATATATTTTTTTTTTTTCATGGAGATTGAGTCTTGTCATGTTGCCCAGACTGGTCTCGAACTCCTGCCTTCAAGTGAACCTCTTGCCTTGGCCTCCCAAACCATTGAGATTGCAGGCATAAGCCACTGTGCCCAGCTCCCAATTCTTTAATAATGTTTGAAAATATGGGTAGAATGACCAAATGCCTGGCACATAGTTGGCACTCAAATGGTAGCTATTAAGCCACTGATAGGATTAATTATACTTAGCATTAAGTCAGGTATTTGTTGACTGCCATCTAATCTTGCCTCAGTACTGACAGGTGAGAAAATTAACCACCTAAGTTTTTATGTCCTGACAGAAAAGGAAAAAATGCCACTAGTTCTTTTCTTTAACAAACACTGATATAGTGTTTACTATGTGTCAGGTATGTTCTAAGGCTTTCATAAATATTAATTTAATCCTAATAACAAACATGTTATAGGTACTATTATTATCCACATTTTACAGATGGGGAAACTGTGGCACAACAGGTAAATAACTAAAGTCATGTGGCTGAGAAATCACAGAGCCAAGATCCACGCTCTGACTTTAGAGTCCAGGCTCTTAACTATTGTTTGGTAACAAAAGAGACTAGACAAGCACATAATTTCAGAACTAAAAAAACCCTCAGTAAGCAACTAGTTCAAGCCCTTCATTTTAAAGATTAAACAAAAAGGAATTTGGGTGGGGGTAGGTCCCCAAAGCAGGTAAGATTGCCAGAGCTAGATAATGAAGCCCCCAGAAGCCAATAATTACATAGCAGATTTCTAATACCCAGCCCTCTTCTAAATTCTCTAACACTGCCTGTCCAGTTATGTAGATTTTAGCATGGGCTCTCTGAGATCATTTTTCTTCTTAGGCCATGTTCTGCCCTCTCAGTTGAGCTAAACCCCCTGGGATGGGACTTGTGTCTTCTACCTCTTTGCAATCCTACTCCCAATGTCCTACATGAAAGGCATCACTATCACATTGATTGGGATGAAGCCAAAGGTGGCATCGATGCAGACTGTGTTCAGGAGAGAGACAAGGATGAAAGGGTCTCCCTACTTCAGTGTTTTTGCTGCCCACCTTCCTTTTTCTTTATTTAGAAAAAAAGTGCACGTGCGCACAGGTGTGCACACATACACACACACAAACACACACAGAGAGAGAAAGGGGAGAGAGAGTTCAAAAAGCCCATAAGCCCAGTTCTACGTAAGGCTTCCAGAAGAAAAAGGCTTCTGAATTCAATCTCAAGATCTGGAAAGTAAGTCACAGGCCAGACAAATTGAGAGAAAATTAAACTTGATAATAAATTAACTTTCAGGTGAACCTGGACCGATGGCCAGTTATGTTTACTCTTAAGTCTTACTCCATTGTGTAGGCCTAGAGCTACACTGAGTATAATTTAGAGCTAAACTTCAGTGACATTTTATTTTATTTTTTCTTTTTTTTTTTTAAGATGGGGTTTCAGCATGTTGGTCAGGCTGGTCTTGAACTCCCAACCTCAGGTGATCCACCCACCTTGGCCTCCAAAGTGCTTGGATTACAGACATGAGCCAGCGAAACTTCAGTGACATTTAAATGCCCTCAACCTTCCTCTGAAGTACCAGCCAGATCAGGTTTGCCTTTTGATTATCACCCTTATTCTGTGGTTAATTCATGGGGGACTAAACCAATCCTCCCAATGGTTGTGACCACTGACCTTTTCTCTCTGATAATCTAACATTAAGAACCAAGTAGGAAACACAGTTTATTCTTTGTGAAGTCATTTTCCCCATAATAAACCACAGCATGAAGAGACATCTATCAAAATTTGGTAGTACCCTAAGCAACCATTCCTTATGAAATATTCCCTACAGACATACCTGAAATCAACTGGTTTGGTAATTCCCCCACCCTAACCTTCCCTGACTTTGACTACCTGAAAACATCTTATACTTGGCATAAGCTCAGAAAGATTACTCAGGCAATATTTTCTTCTTAAGTCCACGTTTTACCATTATTCTGAAGCAAGTTACACCTACATACCCTCTTCCTAAAGGTGAAATCCAATTGTTTGCATTTGAGCTCAACAGTCTGTCAAATTCCTACAATTCCATTGAAACCCCTTGAGCTTAGAGTCTTACCTCAGTACAGCGTGTGCATGTGGACCTACTGAAGATGACCA